ACATCTAAAATGTGTGGTTTTTTTTCCTATATCATTGGAAAAACATTTAGAATTTCTTCATGGTAGGGCTAACTGTAATATTTCTCCAGAGCCCCCACACATCTGTGAGCTACACATTTAAGTCTTCATGTTCATCCCAGCAGTAAACTGGAAAGTACTGGAGTTCAAGGTCTCTTTCCCAGCCTTGCTTTCCTTACGGCTGTTTGGCTGGAGACCTTTAGTACAAGCAGCCTGCCAGCAGTGACTCCAACTCTTGCCTTCCTCATCTCCTCACTTTTTGCATCTCCTAAAATACACCAGATGAAGACCAGAGTGATATCTTGAGGAGCCCTTCTTCCAGCTAAGCAGCACAGATTGGGTGGGTGCTGTAGTGACCACCAGATAGTCTATAGAATAAAACCAGCAGGTCTTGGGGGTGTGACCAGCTGAATGTCTCTAAGCTGAGCTCTGCCTCTGAGCTCTCAGTACCTATTTGCAGATATTCATGTGTACAAAGGAGCCTCAGAAAAGGTCTAAACAGAGAGCTCTCTTCTTTCTTTTCTTTAACTGGTTGAGCACTGCTATGACTATTGCATTAACTGGTCTATATTAGTGTGTCTAGGAAAATAAGAATAAGTTCTTCTCTGACAATTTCAGTCTTGACTTTTTCCACAAGTAATTTTCATCCATTTGGAGAAACGCTTTTGATCTTGTACCTTGTGGAAGATAGAAATGCCTTTTGTTTTTTTTTTTTTAAGTGAAAACTTCATCTGGAAGGAGAGGAGGAGGAGATGGTAGTCCTGGTATTGCCAAAAGTTCTTTTCTGTCATTGGCTGCGTTGTGTGTGATTGACAGATTATTGGCAATGAAAAACCAACAGTTGAGACTAATGATCATATCTATGACTCACATGTTTTCCAGGCTGAAAATTACCTTTGGCAGCAATTTCCTTATGCAAAATATAGAATCCCCTTTTATAATAATAATAAAAAAACCCCCAGCAGTGCCCCCAAAATTGCAAAGGTTAAATATGCACACTTGAAAATCATTATCTGGTATGTTTACTGTTTAGAAATATTTTTACCCATAAATTCAGTTTATTCCATAACTTGCATTTAAAAAAAATAAATCCTCAAATATAATAATACCTGTAGGTTGCATGCATTTCAAATTTTTTACTAAGTTGTGTCCAAGAATAGGCAAATTGCAGAACCAGTCTCTCTAAGTTCTAATGCTTATGGGGAAAGGAATACGTGAACACAGATGGAAAGTCCTGAAGCCTGTGCAACAACACTGGGCTTCTGAAGCACTCCCCCTGACCCCTCTTAATGTTTTCTTTCCATCTTCTCCATCAGTGTAGTGCTGGCAGCACTCATAGAAAGAATTGCTTCATTTGGGATCAGACTGAATATCAGAAGCTTTCCTCCTCCTTTGTGATTTTTGGTTTCGGTATTTTAGTACATAAGTAAAGTTGATTTGTCTTCAGTATGAGATGTGCAGACTGAAAAAAGAAGTTGGAATAATCCGACATGAGGATGCCCTAGCCTGTAATATGTTTTAATGATTTTCTCTGAATTTTGGCAGATTGGGCCAGTATTTTGACTTCACATAGGATTCCTTGTTTAATTTTGTGTATATTCAGCGGATTTCTTATTGTTGCCTTTTTAAAAGAAAAACATAAACCTGAAAACATGAGGGTAGAACACCTCACAGCAAAGTTCCTGGGAAGCACATTCCCATGTCTGCAGGGAATTTTGTGGATATCCATTTCTCCTCTGTACACACTGGAGTCAAGACAATCCTGTGAAACTCCTTTTTTCAAGCATAATGGCACCTTCTTGTGTGGGTCCCAATTGTTACGTTCTTGTTTTTCTGGATAAGTAACTGCTCAAGTTGCACAACAACAGCTCTGAAAAATTTCTGCCTCGTGATGCCTCATTGTCAGAACCTGTCAGCCAATTCTGTAGCCATCCTTGTTCTGTGTAGAACAGGGACCAGAATGGTGGCTTCTTGGTGAGCATACAGGATGTTTTGAATGGCCAGGTTACCTCATCCTCCTCAGGCAGGCTGATTGGAAAGCAGCATTCTTCAGGAATTAGGTATTAAACATCAGAAATTCCTTCTTTAAGACTGAAAAAGAATTCAGTGAGTTTTACTGGACCCTTTGTGTTGGTAGATACAGAACACAGAAATAATATTTTATCCAACACTAGTGGTTCCTGGTAATAGATGGGAAATTTTATTTATAGTTAGTTATTTGTAGTTATTTTCCAACTAGATGTAGAGTTCCTATTCAGGGAGGTTCATCACAGAGAAAGGTTAATTGGTAGTTGTAGATTTGTTGTGCTGTGCTGAACATTTCCAAATGCTTATTTTAGTTGTTCTCCCACTGCTTTGTGTCACTCTTATTTTCTCTCCAAGCTCCTTTATAGATTCTTTGATTCCTTACAACTCGATAACAGTTCATTTCCAAATGTGAAACAATTGATGGACAATTTGATGGTAGTTGTGGCTTGTTATAGAGGTTTTACTTGTGTATGTGGTGTCTGGTTTTGCCTTTGTATAACCAGGAAAGAGTTGTGTCAATAAAATGGTATGTTTAGATAGTGGCTCGTCTCAAAACAACTGTGAGGGTGGATTATCCCTATCAATAATCCACTCTACTAATTGAGGAAAATTAATTCTTGGACAGGAGCCAGTGTTTTCATGGGTGTTTGTTTAGGGATAAATTTGAAAAACATGTTTATGCATTGAAGTAAGCAAGCTTGAATGTACACTGATGAATTAGAAGGCATAAATCTGTTCTGGTGGGTTGTAGAAAACTATTTCCTTATTCTGAATTTGCTTAAATTAGATATATGCCATCCAGCTCACTCTTTAGATTGTCTTCTTTAAAAATGAGTATTCCATAAAAAGAAAAAAATGCACCCCCCCTTCTTCCTTATTTTATGCCAATTTTTAGTGCTAAGATTCTTTTTCAAATAGAAACTTAATATGAGTAAAATCCTAAGGACTTTATAAATGTAATTTTATTGCATTTATCTCTACAGCTGAAATTAATTATTCAGAGTGTTCATTAAAAATAAGCTTTGGTAAGTGACATTTTTAAACAGGCATTCAGAAGAGATTGCAAGAAAGATGGTGATAAAGAACAGTGTCTAAAAGGAAGTGTAAAATTCTTGAACATTTAAAACTGGCCTGTAAAAACTTCAAATGTGGCTGTTTGGACAGTTAGGGAAATGTAAAGAGAACACGTATTGCTGCTAGGCTGAGGGGGCTGCCAGCATTGCCACGTGCCACTATTTTATCAACTGTTTGGTATGGTTTCTTAAAATGTTCAGTGCTAGTATTGAGAAAATGAACAAAATTTGATATTTTTTAAAAAGTAAAAAAATATGCGTTTCCCCCCCCCTTGATAATGGAGAAATATTGAAAAGGTGACTGTGAAAGCATCATAAACCCTTGTATTCCAGATAGCAACTAAAAAACCCACCAGAAACCTCTCATTTATAATACCATTCAAGCTTGACATACACATGAAAAGCTATAGTACATTCTGTGCTTGTCTATGATTAGACAAACATCTTCCAGAGCTCCTCAAGGTTTGCAGTCCAAGAGCTCATTGGCAGTCCACGAGGAATCCCACTTATTCCTAGCAACAGATGCAATTCCTGTCAGAGGGAGGCAGGGCAATAGGCCCTGGGGCTTTTTGTATCCAAAACCCCTGTGATCGACCATTATATCCGTGCCAAAGTGGAGATCCGTTTCTTGTTAGCTCTCACAACAGTTCCTTATCTTTTCTTTAGGTCTTAACGATGGATGTTGTAGTGCTTAAAGGTCTTATGTAGAAAGATGAATATTCAAGCCAGGAGGCCCCTGAATACTGCTGAAATAAACAGAGAGCTGCTGTCATCAAATTTGTTTAATTTCTGTTTCAGCAATTAGCCAAGGAATACAGTTAGGAAAAATAAATGACCATCAGTCCTGGCTGAGATGTTGGACCAGTAAAAACAATAGCAGACTATTTACTGTGGGAAGCAAAGAGAAAGCAGAAAGCCACCTCTGTCACTAAAACACATTTTCTTCTGAGTTCTCTCCTGAAGTTTACCATGAGCACAGTGGAAACAATCTTAAATATCAAACCCGTGACTTAGAGTCTTGAGTAATGGTGTGGGAATAACGTTAATAATCTCTGAAACCAAATGGAATGATAAGAGGCATGCTGGAGACAATTATTTACTTCATATTTACTTTTTTATTCTAGTGTAGGCTTAGTGGGTTTTTCTGCACAGGACTTCTCTAGTTATTTCCTTCCTTGTCATCATAAGTGATAGAGGAGGCTTTCTGGTTTCTCACATGCTAAATGCTTTTCTCTTGCTTGTTTTAGTGGTTTTTTTATGTGAAATGCATGAAGTAGTTTAATCTTGTGATTATTTATAGTTTGCCCAAGTTTTGCTTTGATGCCTGTAAGTGCCACTCTCATCTCCCTGCCCTCCACAAGCCCTCAGCCCTGGAAGACCAGTACATGCTTTTTAACTAAGCTCATCAGCCAATTTTGCAATAAATATTTGCACATTTTTTTTCCCTAGGAATTATCCTACTAAAAATGGTGAATCACCATGTAAGTTGGCTGTAGTATCTCTAAAAGTGCTCACTCTCAGACTTTTCAAAACAAGAATTTGGTGGCTCTTTGGAGCTGTGATTTACAGACTTCCTCCTGTGTATCTCGAGTTGATGAATTCTTTATCGCTTTGCCAGGAATCGTGGACTTTTATGTAATTCCATTGAAGCCATCTGTCCTCTGAAAAAAATTTGAGCACTTGAAATGGTGCAGATGTCAAATTCAATGGATTACCAGCTTCAGCACTTGCTACGTAACCACGACGCTGGGAGAAAGAACAAGGCTTAGGGACAGTCCCTGTTTTTAAGCAGACTATTTAAACCGTAAGATTGTGTTAATGTGTTGTTTATAAGATTTGCTCCTTTACATCCCGTTTTCCTCTCTGATTTTTGTCTTGTAGTGTTGTCCCTCAGACCACAGTAATCCTGAACAACGACCGGCAGAATTCAATTGTAGCCACGATGGTCGGGCAGGAGGAGCCCTTGAGCAGAGCGTCGGAGTCTCTGGAAAATATCCTGAGCAAGTTAGTAGCAGTTATGGGGATCCTCCCCTTCATTCCTTCCTCTGACAGATCAATATCAGCCTCTGCAGCAGTTCAAAGTGCAAAATGAGGAGTGTTCTAGGTAATAGCGGGGGGAAAAACGTCGAGCTGGTACTTGAATATTTTATCCAGCTTAAGTTCTGCCCAGGGAAACCTCATATCGGCAGTGAAGGTGCAGAGCAGCACTTCACTCCTGATGAGAGAAAGTCTTGGAGGATCTGGGATTAGTTCAGTGTTAATTGACAACTGACAGTTGAAAGAAAGAGTGCCTATAGCTATGTATTTTTCACATGGATGCACAATCTCTTGGGAACTTGCCAAGACCCTGTATTTAATCAGATGAAGAAGGAATATGCAGCAGCCCAGGAAAGCTTGTTAGAATTTGTACTGTCTAAAGCAAATTTTACATTAAGTTGAACTGGAGATTATGGATAGAAAATGCTCTTAAATAATATGTTTTTTTTAAGTTCATTACATACATTTTTTTTTTTTGCTTTGTCACTGGGCCTAGGCTTCTCCATTGGTGCAAATTTGTTTTTCTTCCATTTTATTTTGCTGGATAGTTTTGAGTTATAAATAGGAATAGCCTTATTTAAAGGAGTATGCTTTTATAACAGTATTTAATTTTGTCAGCGTTTTTAATTCCTTGATAATGATGCTATTCCTGATCAAGGATTGTGTGTTCCCCAAAGTTATGTGCTTCTCTTTTCCGTAGTGCTGGTTCTGGACGTAGGCAGAACACCATAGTGGTGAAAGTTCCAGGGCACGACGACAGTCACAACGAAGATGGAGAGAGTGGCTCTGAGGCCAGTGACTCAGTTTCCAACAGTGGACAATTAGGAGGCCAAAATATTGGGAACAATGTCACGCTAATTACGCTGAACTCTGAAGGTAGGCTCATCTAACTCTAAAGTTACTTGGGCAAAGTAAGTGTGGTGGTGGAATGAACTGAGCTTCAGAGATCATGTCGTGGGTTCAACCTTGATTTGTTAGGCAGTACAGCAAGCATCAGAGAGCTTGGGGTTTGTTTTTTCCTTTTTTACTGGTTTCAGAGGCAGAACGGCTAATGAAAATTACTTTAAAATTTAAAAAGTATGCCCCACTAAAGCAGTGTAGCTTTAAATTTTAATCCTTTATTATTTATTCCTTTAAATTCACCCATGCAACCCACAGAATTTCCTATCACCATGTTGAAATATTGTTTCAGGAGAGTAAATGCCTTCTCCACTTCTACTAGTCTACTCATCCTGTAACATATTGTGGCAGTCCACTTGTCTAATTCTTAGGAGTGTTGTAATTTTAGCAACTGTAAAGAATTTTTATAAGGGAATTCATATTAACAACAAAATGTTAAAAGGATAGAGTGTGGCATCATATTTTTCTGATAATTCTTTAGGTCTTGGACATAGTTACCAAACGTGAAATCTAAGAATTTTAGATTAGATGTATGAAGATATTTCATGTGGTTGGAAAGATTGAAATGAATGTTAGTTGCCATATTTTAATCACAAACAGGATGATATAAAGGAGACTGAATTTTAGGTGAAAACAACACATGATAATTATGTTTTATGATTAGTTTGAAACTATCATTTTTTTAATACAGAGGTAATTTGAACCTTAGACTTCAATTTTATTATTTTTCCTAATTACTTTAAAAACATATTTATTGAATATTTACTTAAGTGTTATTCTGGATGTGGTAGTTCATATTTGCATTCATGTAAAGAAAATTAATAAGTTACTTCAGGAAATTACTGTGGCAGGATGCTCTTAGGAGGTGACCTTTGTACTTATGAGGTAAATGTGTTGTCTTTTGGTCTCTTAACACTGAAACACAAGGACTCTAATTTAGGAGTAATTAAGTTTCTTCTTTATGATCTCCAGGCATTGGTAAAGCACCTTGGGTGTGAATCAATTAGTATACAATTAGTGGTAAGGATTAATTCAAGAGAGCCTGGGACTTGAGTATTTCAGAGTGCGTTCAAAGATTTCAGAATTAACAACTGAATGAGATGCTTTAAAACTTTGATACTTAGAAAATGTCAGAAATCAGTCTACTAAAAGTCTCACGCAGCAAAGACTGTTTCTGAAAATGTTGTTCTAAGGCATCTGAATTCAGGATTTTTCAATTTTTGTGAACACTTATACACCATACACATATTATAAAGAGCTTTTATGTTTGTGTGTTGTGAGGCAGTTGCTTCTGAAGGGTATCTCATTTTGGGTCAAAGGGGAGTTAAAGGAGACGGAGATGGTCTGAGGAGTCAATCTCAAAAATGATCAGATTTAGATAGTGCTGGTATTTGATGTGCAAAATACACAAAACATACTTTTTAGAGTCTTAATATTTCATACAGCTCTGTGTCAGCTATGCCAGGAATAAAACTTCTAATGTTAGGAGAGCATTTGTTGTAAAATGCCCTTTTGACCTGGACGTTTGGCACAGATTTGCACAGACAAATGTGATGTTGGCCTTTTATGCTATTGTTGTGTATGTAAATTTTTGAAGAAACAACTAATCCATTAATGTTGTCAGATCTGACTTTCTTCAGACCTTTAGAACACTCATCCATTAGAAATCTGTCCGAGATTGATGAATGCTTTGAGAATCAGATTAGTAATCCCCCACGCCTACTACTACTTCTTGCCCTCCTGAAGAGAGCAGACCACTTGCACAGGAGGAATGCTAAGTGAACCAGCCTGCAGGATGTCACAGAAATGAAATCATTAGTAAAGGAAGTGATGAAGAATAATAGGTCTGTTGTGCAGACTCGTTTTCTTCAGCAGTAAAAGGCAAAAGTTACAACACCCATCAGCTTGCTCTCATCATCTGTTAAAGAATTCCTTTGAGTGACTTTGAGTTGCTCAAAGGAGCCTGGGTTGTAAAATACGAGGGGTTGAGGATGGTGTCCTGCAACCCTCATGGACTGAGACTAAACAACAGGTTTTCAGTAGGACTGCCATCTGTCTTCTTGTGTTTGGAAAGCAAAATGAAACCATGTTTACACTTGGGTTTTGGCTGACTTTAGATGTGGCATTGACCTGTGGACGTTTTCAGATTTAGTGAATAGATTTATATGAAGGCATTGTTAGCTCTCTGCTGGCTGTTTTCAAAGATCATTTAATCACATCTGCTAATTTGGAAAATATTTGTGTTATTGCCTTTCTATTAATGAAAAATGAGCATACAGAAGTGTGGAGCTCAGTTCCAACAATGGTGTAAAATAACTTTTGGTTTTTTTTTCCTTCTGTCTGAACACTGACTATTCAATTTTCAGCTGTATATAAATCCTTTTACATGTGCAGTAAGATGTCTTTTCTCTTTGAGCAACAGCTCTTTGATTCTTTTGCTTTTTTAGAAAACTGAAAATTCTCATCCATTTTACAGATGCAATTAATGGTCTACAAAGTGTTGGGTTTAAGATGTTGTATTTATGAACTGGAAGCACCTAGAGATGCCGAATCTCTAATTTTTTAATTAAATTTTGTGGGTTTGTTTCCTTTTGGAAATGTTCATGTCCTTCCACAGGGGGATGATACTAGAGATATCAACACCTGATTTATTCACTGGACTCCAGTTCTAAAAGTGGTGTTCGTGAAGTAATTGTGCACAAGTGCAGATAACACCCAGCAAGCATAGAAGTGTTCAGTGTTGAACTGCCAGTGTAAAATCAAATTGGAAAGGCTAAAAGGCTACTAATAAGTGACTTAGTATTTTTATTAATGTATTTTGGCATAGAAAATAGCCAGTGTATCCTTAAGAAATGATGGTTTTTTTCATTTAACTTGTAATGATACCTCATAGATATTAATAACTGCCAGAAGTAATTAGCCTGTTTTTGCTTGGAATGCATATGTTAGAGCAGAAAAGAGACACCCATTGTTGCAGCCCAAGTGGATCTTCTGGGGAAACTAGAGAATAGTAGTATGGATGTATAGACAATAAGCTTAAGTTTATAACCAGGTGATTTTGGTGTAAAATTGCTTTTCCACAGATGAGAGGATAGTCGAATACTAAGATCAAAGCTCAAAATTTTGTTTTGCCCAACTTATCTTTTAAGAATATATCTGTCTTCAGAAACACTGTTTGAAAGAACTGAAGGCACCATATCCTTTCAGAGTTTAAATGAGGAGGGGACATCAGCTTAAAACTGGTTAACTTTGAGCCTTTGGTTTCTGGAGATCTGGATTGGAGCCTTCATTTAAATCCTACAACAGAATGTTTTTTTTTTTCCTGTACTGAATGAAGAAGCCCAGGTGTAGCCCACTACTGAACTCACATTTGAGTAGAAGTGAAGAAGCAGAAAGGTCTTAAAAGAGCAAAGATACAACCTACCAAATAAAACTGTCCAACCTGCTCTGTTTTGCTAATTTGAACTACTCAGGCAATGCTAAAATGTTAATGGTAAGCACTGTCTGTAAAGCCTAATTGACTTAATCATCAGCCATCCCTTTTCTTTATTTTTTTGATTTAGGAAAAAATCTCCTCGTTGTACTTTTAACACAATATGTTAATGATGTTTAGGAAGTTCCTAACTTTAATCTTGAGTCATTGTTCAAACCAAAGACATTTCTGTCGTATAATTATCTTAGCTTGAATCTTGGCTAAGAAATTCTAATTTGGAAGCGCCTTTGGTGATCTCCTCTGACAGTTGTGGAGCTGTCCTTACCCACAGTGCACTTAAATAAATTTCAAGCCTGGTTAACCTTTTTTTGCTCTTTTGAAACATCAAAGCCATGTAGGTAACCCAGGTATTGTGGCAGAAATGCAGCTGAACAGTTGACATCCCGAAATACAGTTTTGTGTTTTCATACAAACTTTTTTTCTCTGAAGTGTGGCTTTTAGAAATTCAAAGTACACAGCTGTTCCTGTACTTTTAGAAGTCTTTTGTGTAATTTTCTGAAGAAACCAGTAGGTCTGGTTTAACATAAATGCTCTCTGGAGGAAAGGAACCACCAAACATGAGTCAAAGCATGACCTGTCAAAGTTACAAACAGACCATTTTGCTGTGTGACTCTCTAAGAATTTGCATAGAGGCTGGTTTTCTGAAAGGTTTTGGTAGATGAAGACAATGTAAATATAATGAAAATGAGTGGGTTTGCTGTGGCACTGTGTGCTTTTTCTTTAATCTGGAGGAAACCTGTGTTTAACTTCCCTTGGTAAACTTGGGAACTCTTCCTGTTCATTGTCCTTCCCCTCCACCTTTTTTTTTTTTACACATCTTTCTAATGTAATGGATTAAGAAACCAACATTTATCACCAAAAAGTGTTTAAAGTAAATGTCAGCAATTGATAGATGTGGGGTTTTTACATTTAAAACTCCAGTTAATTTTTACATCAATGTGTTCTTTCTGTAAGATTTGGAGTACAGGACGTTCTCAGTTTAAACAAAGTTGTGCTTTTTTATCTTGAACTTTCTGATTAGGCTTAAAAACGATGGGCAGTTGATGAATGAAGAACACTTCTAAAACATTATTTGGGCCTGGTGTCTATGTACATGTTATTTTTCTAATGAACTGTTGTAGATTCAGGAACTGATAGAAAAAAAAAAAACCAGCCTGGTTTGTCCATCTGCATTTGTGAGGATTTAGTTGCTACGTGTGATAAATGGTTTCTAATGGAGTGACTTTTACCCATCTGTTCAGCTGGGATCGGGATGGAGTTGGTGTTTCTCAGGTGTAGTGAAGCTGTGTAGAACATCAGATTTGGCTTTGGAGTGAGAGAGCCATTAAGTTTTATATACACTGAACAGGCTGAATTATTATTATTGTTATTTTAGTAGCAGCGTGGGAGTGAGCTGTGTGCTAAATGAAGTGATAGCACTCTTCTGTCCACCAGTCACTTTTCAGATATTGTACTTCTTCAGCTTTAAGGGTGGTAATAGAAG